AACCACACTTGTGCATGAATTGCTTGCCCAAAAAAAGATGAGCATAATACTCTTCACCCTCTATTGAAATGAATCTTCCTATCAAAATAAGAAGAGGCTTTCTTCTTGTTTCCAAACATCTTGGTGTTTATAGCTAAATTTTAACTCACAAGCATAAAGAACCAACTCAAAAAGATCAGTGAAGAGAAGGCTAAAATGAGGTGCAGAAAAATTGAAAATGAGCACTTCACATTTATAAATATGAATGACACTACAGCACTATGATAGGCACTTCTATAATGATAGTAAAAAAATGCTAAACAATAATCTGCATAGTGATAATGACACCATGTGTGAAGGATACATAGTGTTGTAGTGCAAAAATTGAAAAATGGACTGTCAGTTTTTTTATCAAAGAACCATCGGGCCATTTAACACATTAGAGCACTATGACACTCGAGAAAGACCACTGTTGTGGCACCATAATAATTAATTATGGTTTTGTCTTAACATTGTGGCTTTTGTGGAAGCACTATTATGATTTATAAAGGATCATAATAAAATAAGATCTGATGTATAATAGTGTGGAATATGATACGACAACACTATAAAAGTATCAATTTGGTGACACGGTGCTACATATATTAGAGTTGAAATGCTCTATTAGTGGAAGTAGTATTGTAGCACTTAAGTAGACAATACTGTAATACTATAAATGGCCAATTTTCTTGAGACTGTGCAGTGGCACCAGATTTAAATGTCATAGCACTTGACAAGCAAACATCATGATACTTTAAGACCTGGTGCTATGACCCTAGTTAAAATTTGCAATTTATGTGAATTCTAAAAAAATTGACAAGTAATATTAGTCAAACCATACTTAGTAATACACATTTCACAAATATATTATATTTTTCACAATTATGAAATAAACAATAACAATATCAGAATTACATGAACAAACAAATGCTTCAACAACAAAATTAAGACCTAATATTAACATATTTGAGTTATCTCCCAAGCATTGCTAAGTTAAAAGTATTCAGTCAGACTTGGCTAAATTTTTCATTTTGGCTAGGTTACATCACTACCACTCCTCAAGTGATACACCTTATGATCCTTCCCTTTCTCCATTGGATTAATTTCATTATTACTAGGCAATACTTCATGAGGTCTACTATTAAATAAGATGGAAATATGTCCTAGTTAATTTTTTAAGTTTTTACTTGAAGCAACTTGGCATTGCAATTGAGTTCCCAATTGAATCACAACCTCTTCCAAATGTGTCTTCCTATCTTTAAGCTAATTATTTTGATCAATACTTTGGATATAAGGTCTAAGGTTTACTACATGTTGCTAAGGATTATTTCAATTTCTTTCTTGATTTAATTGACTTCTATTCCATAGATTATTCCCACCAATATTATTATTAGACCAATTAGAATTAGGATGGTTCCTCCAATCTAGATTGTAAGTAATAGAATAGAGATTATTTTATCTTCTAATCAAATTCACATTCTCAATCCCTTGAGCATTATTCTTACCAACATAATTTAAATCTTGCTCTTTTAAAATTATATGTGATCCAAATCGTAAACTAATTAAAAAATTATCCTACCTTTTAGATATATAAGCTGGATGAGTATTTATATAACACTGTCATTGCGAGGTCCCAAATCCTGGATGAGAAAAGTGGAGGATTGCATTAGGTACTCGACAGTCAACATAAAACTTGTCTAATAATAATGACATGAATTCCTTAAGAAATTGTGTTAATGCTAGGGCATCCCCTAGAAGCTACGCACTGTATGACCTGAATACAATGAAAAGCGTACAAGGGCCGCTCACCGGCACCCGGGTGCAGTGTTAAATAGGCAAGGATTCCCACATCAAGGATGGATGTATGTAAAGAAGCTAGTTCATGAAACTAAAAAACATGAAACTAAAATTAGGATAGGAACTTGAAATATAGGTTCTTTTACAGGAAAATTAATGGAATTAATAGATATTATGCTTCATAGGAAGTTAAATATTTTTTGCATTCAGGAAACTAAATGGGTTGGAGAGAAGGCTAAAGAAATTGATAGTTTAGGATTTAAACTTTGGTATTCAGGTAGGAGTCATGCTAGAAATGGTGTTGGTGTTATTATAGATAAGAGTTTGAAGGATAATATTATAAAAATTAATAGAATTGGAGATAGAATTATAGCTTTAAAGATTATTATTGATGCTAAGATTGTTAATATTATAAGTGCTTATGTTCCTCAAGTAGGTTTCGATATGAGTTCTAAATTTAAATTTTGGAATGACTTAAAAGATCTAATACAAAAGATGCCTCTTGAAGAAAGATTTTTTATTGGAGGAGATTTAAATGGACATGTTTGTAGAGAAGTAAATGATTTTTAAAGCATTTATAGTGGCTATAGTTTTGGAATGACAAATGAATGTGGCAAGACCATATTAGACTTTTGTTTAGCTTATGATTTTTTAATTTCTAATACCTTATTTAAGAAAAGGAACGAGCATTTCATCACTTATAAAAATGGATATAAAACAACTCAGATTGACTATTTTCTTATAAGAAAATTAGATTATTTAGATTACAAATATTATAAAGTTATTTCGAGTGAAAATTTATCCATCCAACATTGATTATTAGTTTTGGACTTTAAGATAAAAGGGTAGAAAATAAAAAAAAATTAAAATAATATTCTAGGATTAGATATGGGCATTTAAAGAATATTAAAAAAATATTTTTGAGAGTAACATTTTATATCTTAAGATTTTATTTGTGCATGAGGATGCCAGTATTATGTGGGAAAAAATGGCTAGTGATATTAAGAATATTACAAAAGATGTGCTTGGAGTATCAAAGAGAAATTCTCCTAATAGTAAAAATAGTTAGTGGTGGAATCCAACTGTATAAGAAAAGATTAAAAATAAGAAGATTTATTATAAAAATAGGTTTAATTTTAAAATTTTGAAAATTGTGAAAGAATATAGAGGCTCGTAAGGACTCTAAGAAAGCAATATGCGATGCAAAGACCTTAGCTTTTAGTAATTTATATAATATATTAGATACTAAGGGGGAAGAAATATATATGTATAAGTTAACCAAACAAAGAGAAATGAGCAATAAGGATTTAGTTCAAGTGAAGTGTATTAAGGATGAAGATAAAAAAATACTTTTTTTAGAAGATGATATTCAACAAAGGTGGATGAGATATTTTTACTAAACCTTTTAATAAAGATTGTATAAATAAGATTGACTATAGTGACCTTAGCACCCTAAATGAAAATAAAGATTTCTATTTGTATCGGTATATTAGTAAAATCAAAGTTAGAGAGACTTTAAAGAAAATGAAGGTAGAAAAGCTATTGGACCTGATGATATTCAAATAGAGGTGTGGAAATGCTTAGGAGATGAAGGAATTTCTTGGCTTACTAAACTTTTTAATACTATTTTAAAGACTAAAAAGATGTCATATGAGTGGAGAATGAGTGTGTTAATTCTTATTTTTAAGAATAAAGGTGATGCACAAGATTATGTGAATTATAGAGAAATTAAGTTAATGTGTCTTGTTTTAAAACTATGAGAGCAAGTTATGGAGCATAGGTTGTGGCATGATACAAATGTTTCTCAAAATCAATTTGGATTCATGACGGTTAGGTCGACTATGAAAGCCATATATTTATTAAGAGGTTTGATGGAGAAATATAGAGAAAATAAAGAGGATCTACTTATGATATTTATTGATTTAGAAAAAGCATATGATAAAGTTCCAAGAGAAGTGATATGGAGAGTTCTTAAAAAGAAAGCAGTTAATAATGCTTATATTCAAATTATTAAAGATATGTATGTAGGAACTTTTACTTGTGTTCAAACAAAAGGTGGTTTGACCAAGTATTTCCCTATTTCGGTTGAGTTACATCAAGGATTAGCCTTAAGCCCATATCTTTTTACTTTAATCATGGATGTTCTCACTAGACATTTACAAGAGGATGTACCTTGGTGTATGCTTTTTGTAGATGATATTATTCTTGTTGATAAGACTAGATAGGGAGTTTAAGGTAAACTTGAATTATGGAGGTCAACCTTAGAGTGTAGAGGTTTTCGCTTGAGTAGATCTAAAACAAAATATATGGAGTGTAATTTTAGAAATAATAGACATAGTGAGGGGATTGTAACTTTGGGCGATCAAGTCATTAATAAGAGTACACATTTTATATATCTTGGATCTATTATTCTGAGTGACGGTGAAATAGATGGGGATATTATCAACAGAATTCAAGTTGCATGGTTGAAGTGGAGGAATGCATCGGGCTTGTTGTGTGATAGAAAAATACCCCTCAAACTTAAGGGAATTTTTTATAATATGGTGGTGAGGCTTGTAATGCTTTATGGTACCGAATGTTGGCCAATAAAAGAGAAGCATAATACTAAGTTAAGTGTGGCAGAGATGAGGATGCTCAGGTGGATGAGTGATTTTACCCTTAAAGATAGGATACAAAATGAGCATATACGTGAAAAGGTTGGAGTAGCTCCAGTAGAAGATAAGATTAGAGAGAGTCTCCTTAGATGGTTTGGTCACATAAAATGGGGGCCTTCCGATGACCCGATTAGGAGAGTAGAAGTATTAGATTTGACTTATGTTAAGAAAAGTATAGGCAGGCCTAAAAAGACTTGGTTAGAAAATATTAGGAATGACCTTTATTTATTAGATTTAAATGATAATTTTACTTTTAATAGGACACAATGGAGAAGAAGGAATCATGTAGCCGACCCCACGTAGTGGGATAAAGGCTTGATGTTATTGTTGTTGTTGTTAAACTACAATTACTCTCTTAGGATTCACCCTATCAAAATGCTACCATAACTTATATAGTATTATTTCCATAGTTAATGCATAAGCTTCATTAAGTGGCTTAAACATTAAAGATCTTCTAATTGTTGCATAAATTTTTGACCTAAGAGATCCTACCTACCATTATGGAAAGTTTTAATAACCAATAAATTAAGTAAAGTATGATGAGGCTATTTTCTAAGTCTCTCCTTAAATCTCTCCTAACTTTTATAAATTCACTTTCCTTCAAACTGAGCAAAAGAAGTGATGCCATTTCTAAGATTTGTAATTTTGGAAGGTGAGAAATACTTAGCTAAGAATTTATGTGCCAACTCATTTCAAATGGATAAAGAGCCTAGGGCATAAAATTCAACAACATCTTAGCATCTTAGCTTTATCCCTTTGTAACAAGTAAAAAATAAATGAAGCCTAGTAGCACCATCATTTACATCATTATACTTGAATGTTACATACTTTTTAAGAAGCTTGCTATGCTTAGGTTGGGATCTTCAAAAGGAGTTCCCCAAACTAGTAATTTTTAATCATCTAAATTATGGTGGGTTTTAGGTCAAATTCTTGGATTGGATAGTAGGTCTATTGATACTTTGATGAAACTCATCTATTACAAGATTTACATACTCCATAAAAGGTCTAGGATGATTATAATCTTGAACTAGTTTAACCATACATAAAGCTAAAGTCTTTTTAGATGTTCAAATTTTTATAAGGGTCCTCTCAATCTCTAAGTCAAACAATAAGATCTCCTTACTAGACCTACTACACTTGCAATAACAAAATGAAAATCAAATAATAGAAAATAAAATAATTATAACAGTTAAAATTTTTCTTTTTTCAAAAAAAAAAAACATGTAGGATACAAGTTACAATATAGAAATATGACTACATATGTAACTAGTTCAACAATATATAATATATTACAATTTTGCATGTTATGTCCCCAGCAAAGATGCTAAAAACTTGATTGGTACTATGGGTGTGTGAATTATTTTTATTCTATGAGTTAAACTATGAGTTAAAATATAATTTGATTTTCTTCAATATGCAATACCAACTAAATATGCAAGTGCAGATGTCAACCAAGCAATAAAGTGATTCAAGAGAGTATCAATCATATGAGGAAGTGTTCTACTAATCATGCATATGAAATAATATTACCAACTATAGCTACAATGTTTATCCTACTAAATAAAATTAAGAATTAAGATTATTTCTTTGTTGGGGAATGCAAAGAAAAGATAAGATACTCGATGATTAAATATTTTGGACTAATAACTATAAATTATATAGGTATTCCTAAGTAGACTCGTCTATATATGTTTGATTTGGATCAGAGCATATGCATGCCTAGATCTCTATCAAGCGTGTAGGGAAGTGAAATGATGTTTATGTTCTTCTTACAATGATAACACAAAACATCACATGTCTTGGCTTGCAAGAGTTTCATTCTAACACTCCTAATTGTTCTAATATTCCTCCATTGAGGCAATATATCATACTAAATTTTAACTACATATATGGGCATTGCATGCATTAAATTAAGAACATGATATATTAAAAAATCCATTATTCATTCAAAGTACAAGATTCAACATTAGTGCTGGCAAAGGATTCACATTATTTTCCCAAAATTAGGAAATTAGCCAGCCAAGGAAATAAAACAAAGCAAACTAGAATTTAATGCTTATATATAAGAGGAAGTACAATATTATAGATGAAGTTTGATGTCACCTGAATAGTACAATACATTCTTCATAATCCTTTCTCATCTAAATGTTTGATTGCTTACAAATAGATAAGCTGACGGTCTCAAAATGAAGTATATTTTGGTCCTATGGCCTCCCTTAGATTTGACTCGAAGGGGGCACTACACTAATGCTTTCAAGACTCACTAAAAATGATAGACTCCATTAAAAAATGATTGAACTCTCTATTAAAACAAAATGAAAAACAATTTATACTAGTATAGAAATAAACTCATATGTTGTGGAGCTCAACATGATGGTGTCGCGACATTATAAAATGAACTAAAACCTCAACTTTGTTAAGTGGCGGGATTTACTACGGCTATGGACTAACCCAGTGTATTATTTTTTGAGTTAGAGATACTCCTTATTTCTTAAACTACTCCACTACGGTGTTGAATGCGTAACTTAGTGCTACGGTATTGTACATTTTGGCACTTTGGCACTCATATTCTTGAGACTCTAGTACAGCGATGCTAATTTCTAGCACTGTGGTGCTAACCATAACTTTACCAAGGCACCAAATTAAGTGAAAATTTTCTAGTGGCTCTGATGTAGCCATTTTTGATTTGGCATCAGGGTGTTGTGAATGCTATGGTGCTAGTAGTTGAATCACTATGGTACTTATTTAATACTTGTGGTTTTTATCTTTTTTTGAGTTATTCTTGCACAATAAAAACTTAAACTAATATTTTACTGATATTTAAGATATCAAAATATTACAAGATTTGCACTTAATATAATTCCAAAATTTCTCTTTGGAACTTCACGATAAAATTTAAGAGGGACTATCTAAGCTCTTGTATCATCTTTAATATAGCCTATGAATTCTTTAAAGACTTTCGAGCACTATCAAATTAGGTGACAATCAACCTTTAAAACTTAGTAAATGAAGTTATAATTTCCAACGAGTGTCTTAAGAACCATTAGAGGGGTAATCCCTTGAAGTTGATAATGAACAAGTGGCAATTCAAAGCATAATTAAGTATCAGCAGTAAGGCAGCCAACTAAAAGTAAGCCATATGGTCAGTAAGATCAGTCCCCCTCTCTATGACTGTAATTAAGGTATTTTGAACTTTGCTAGGGTTTTTTTTTTTCTACTATCTATTTGCATCAGGTATTAATTAATTACCTTACCTTTCCACTCAGTTGGCTAAGCCATGAATAACTCTTCATTGATGCTAGGGAAATAAATCTCATCTATTGTGAATGTTAGTGTTATTGCCTTGACACTTAATTGTGCCTTTGGATTATGAAATTTAAGGATGCTTCTACCATCTTAACTCTATGAATGGCTTAAAATCCCACTCCAAATCTATTGAGATTATCTTCATAATCCTCTCTTCCATCTCCATCAGTTACGTGTTGGTTATGAGCTCTTAATTCTCCATCTTTATGGATATTTATTTACTCTACTCCACATAGTACTTGGTTTTTTATTCATGGCATCATTCAAGTCTAGAAACTTCTAAGAGGATGTTGAATCCAATTTTATTTATGGGAGACACCTGAATCCTACTCATAAGGCTCAAGTAAAGAAAATATAGGACATAAAGAGATGACAGAGAGAGAGAATCTCTAAGATTTTATATTTTGCTCAAAATACTTTTAATACTATAGATATTATTGTTGGCCTAGAAATGGTCCTTCAATGCATTTATAGGGTTTTGAAGGCTGTAAGAGAAGCTACACTTAAGCCTTACATGAAAGTTAATAAAAAATATATCATATGATTATTACAAATACTTGGAGATAATGGTTAAAATATTAGTAAGTACACATAGTTATCTTGAATTAATGAGTAGGTGAGATCATTGGTCAAGTAGATAAAGTCGTTAACTCTAGATAGGAATAGATGGATTTCTCTTGATCTCTTGACTAATGCAAGTGGCTCTTTTTAGGGTGAGTGGATCATCTAAGTAAAATAAACATATATACCTCTTTTTGGCAAGGGTAAGTGACTCCTCTAGCTAAGGTGAATGACTTATATGGCTCAAGTGAATAGCTCCACTTCCATCTGGGGCTAGTGACTCGTCTAATAAAGGTGACTAAATTCACTTGATGAGTTAAATAGGTCAACTTCTACATGTGTAGATTGAGTCCTCTAGTTGAGCTGAGATGTCCACCTATGATTATGAAAAGTGGCTCCCAATGGTAATTGATCTTGGAGGTAAGATGCCTCTTGATCAGGTTGAGCGAGTGACTCACTACAAGTGTGTCTTAATCTTTGGAGAATCTACTTAATCTTCTTAACTATTAGGCCCATATATTGAGGTATACAAGCATACAATTGAATATGTATTTTTTAGGATTAAAGCCTACATTTAACATAAATTAAATTAATAACAATATGTGATTACTATTCATTTATGATATTTTGTGTGACCCAATGTTGGGTTTGATACCACGTTGTTGATATCCTACCCCATACCCTAATTTTCCATTTATTATTTCACATATTAAGAAGCTTTCAACCAATATTTATCCTCCCCACTGCAATGAGCTTTCCATCCATCAAGTATAATTACTCTCATCTCATTTCTCTCCCTCTCATGTCCATTATACTTTTTTAAACTCTCAATTTACCCTCTTGCTCACCTCCACATTTACGACTAAAGAAGATCTGCCTTCTAAATCTAGCTACCACTACCAATAGCCAACCATTGGCCATCAAACAAAAAAAAAATCAGGTTTCCATGATATCTAATTTATATATTAATTATCGTTAAATGATGTGATATTTTCTCACTAATCACCATACACCATACACCATATTATTATATATAAGATGCATGCCACATAAGAAAATGTTATGCAAATATAACAAAGTGTGAATTTAAGAAATATTACTAAAATAAAAATAGATCAAATTTTTATTAGAGACATTCATGCGAGTAGGGCTTAAAATTTACTTGAATATTAATGATCATTTAAAAAAGGATATTTTTTTGTTTTTTCATACCAAAATTCTCACTAACATACCAAAATCTACAAGCCACTTTGTTTCAAATCAAATTTAAATTTAGATAGGCTTGGATTGACCCTAGATAGGTCTGGTTTATAACAAAATGAATGCACACAAATTTATTTATATGTATATTTATGCATATTATACATACAATTTATTGAATTTGTATTCATCCATATAGGAATCTATATTAGTAATGTAGTATCAAAATATTTAAGGACTATATATGAAAATGTGTATGCATTTTGTACTTACAAATTATCTTGGAAGATAGAAAATCAAATTATTTTTTTTATTTGAATCAAGTTTATATTACTTTAATGAATTAGATCTTATTTTAATTTATTTTGAATCAAACAAACCTATAAGAAATCCTAATTTACTTTAATGAAGATTTTCTTGTTACTTCCAAAAAATAAGTGCCATGCTTTATCATTAACAGTTCAAGCTTAAACTCCTTAGATTTTTTAGGTTTAAAAGTAGAAAGTAAAATATGTATAAAGGTTATCAAATATTTTTAAAAAGCTTTTAAAATTTAGTCATTTGTCAAGTT